TGATGAAAAACGAGAAGACTCAAGTTAGGAGTCAGAGTTAGTTTTTTTTTTTTTTGAGAAATAAAGAGTCAGAGTTAAAGATAGTAATAGGAAAACAAGCAAAAGAACTGAAAGCATAGCAACATCAGTTCCAGTGAAACTAAGGAGATCTATATTGTCAAAAAAGAAACTGAGGAGATCCACAAGGGAAAAGAAACCAACCTTGAAAATCATCGTTCATTGCATATTTAGAGCTTAATGTGTCAACAAATGTAAAATAAGGGCGCCATCCACTGGGATCTTCATCAGTATTAAAATTCTCTCTTCGCTTTTGGACATCTTTCAGACTATTCAGAAAGCAGTTAAGTATTAGATTCTGCCTACTGCTGATTGACCAGAAAAACAAAATGTACCTTGTTCAGGGTTTTTAATGAAAATATGCTTCTAGAAATGAACCTTACATGTCCATGACATCAGATGAAGGAAGTTTCGATACAAAATGAAGGATGGCACCTTCCAGAAATGACAGCTGCCTGGGAGCTTCTATAAACGCATAATCAATGCCTTCCCTGACAATTGTTAAAATTTCTGATCTATACTTGTTTCGAGCTGCACCCATGAATGTTCCAGAAAGCCGAGCAGCAAGATTCTTGCATTCTTGAAAATATCTGCTCCTTACAGATTCATCATAATCTGTTGACAGTTTCACAGCATACCGACTGAAGGCCTAGTCAAGCAAAATCAAATCAACTCTATATGCATCAAAACTTTGCAATATAAGGGGAAAAAACATAGAGATAAATTTAATAGAACAGAAATTCAGATTGCAAGACAAAAACAGAGTCTAGAATGTGAAGGAAAAATGCTGAATATCCTAATGAATTTTGACAAAAATCTCACTGAAAGATGGCCTGAAAACATTTAAGTTCTGAAGAATTGTCTCATCTAGATTCCTTTATCTGATCCTCAAATCATGTGACATTTTTGTCAAAACATAAGTTTACAAACATATATAAATTACAAATGGCTAAGAAATAACAGTTACTATCATCCTGATTCCATAGATGTAAAAGCCCTACCCTTTTCAGTGCTTCTAGAAAGATATTAGATAGATCATCATCTCTTTTCCTTAGGACGGAAATAAGTTTCTTCACAATCTCCGCAACATTAGCCCCATGCATCACAAATTGAGAAATGACTTCTGGACCAAGGTAATCCTGCAGTAACAGTTGGAATTAAATGAGACAGTCAGTACATTGGGAAAGGGGGAACAAAGATTTTCTAAGAAAAATGCACAGTAAAATATAGCATGACAATAGTAGTAATCCTGCAGATTCCCTCCAACCCCTCTCCAACCGCCACCGCTAAAAAATAAAAGCTTTCATGAACACAGTAGACATGAAGTCAAAAGATTTTTTAATATTTTTGCACCATGTTAAATGTTCACCTTGGGAACGGTATCAGTAGTAACTAACTTCGCAGCAGCAATCATAACTGCATCCCTATTTGTCTCCTCAATGTACTCTTTGTTTGCATCATCATCTTCTGTCTCATCTATCATAAAAATTGGAAAGTGAAATCAGAATTTTTATCTATGAAACCAAGGTTGAGGATGCATCAGAATTTTTAGCTCATAATAACATGCAATAATAACCTAACAAACACTATATAGGAGTCTAAAACCCTAACTTGTAAACCAAACATTGAGAATTACCGATTACGTTTACCTTATTAGGGTGCTTTAACTGTATGGTATTAAATAAAGACAGAGAGAAGTCCGTGTAGTTGGATAGCTATAAAGGTTAAATACAAAATTGACTTCTCATAAGATGGTGCAGGCCTAAGCCATAACTAGGTCTATTTCTCTGTTGTTTCTTCTCCCTTAAGTAGCAGATCTCGATTCTGCAATGCATCCCTCTCATTGATAGTCTCCTTTTCTTTAGAACATAAATTTCCCATCTTGTCCAGAGACTTGTCATGTAATAATACTTGACAATCAAGAAATTTCCTATAAGAAAATATACAACTATATTGTAAGAAATGGTGCTCCCAAGAAATCCGTGCATTTAGGATCATTTTGATTTCTGTTTCTACTTCACACCAGCTAACTAGAAGCTATTCACATGACAAACTCAACGGTGAACCAGTTTCCCAAACCAAACTTAAATAAGGATTCACTTTACCTGAGATACTCAACTGCTGTTCGCAAAGTTTCCAAAATTTCTCAAGAACAGAAGTATCAGGACAATATCCCAGCATTTCCATCCTTGTCGAAGCAAAATTTGTCTTTCTAAATAAACAACAAACTTCTGCAAGCATAGTACAAACCTGCAGCAAATCATGTATTGATTAAACCAAAAAACTATTAGTGGGAAAATAATCAAAGAAATTGCTTGCGATTAAAACTAAATAGCGCCCAAGGGGTGAAGGGGGAACACTTACTCGGCAAGCTAGCTGATTTCCAGATTTACTGCCTTCAACTAGAGGAGGAATGTTAAGATAATACTCAAGTTCCTCAAACAAGGTAGTGCGCTTTGATAATAGAGACCTTAAGGATGCTTCAGATACTACCTCACTATTTACAACAGAATGCAGAGACCAGGCCACATACAAATACATGTTCAGAAGCATAAAACTGACAACCTGGATGAGAAAAAGAATTGTATTATGGACACGTCCAAAAGGCTAAAAAAATGGCATATATCATTCTTTTGCTGCACACCTCATCATCTAAGTTTCTTAAATTACGGAGAGTCATCGCAATATCATCATATAAGCTTCCAACGTGTACAGGCTTTGACAATTGAAGCTCATATAGCCTTTTCAAATTTACAAGAAGACTGTATTCATCATTGCCATCCTGCAGAGGTAGAAGACATCATATTTTATCCATTTGTAATACAGTCAATAGATAAAAAGTATGAGGTGGGGACATACTGCTACTTCTTTCATTGCTGATCTAAGTTTAGCAATAAGCTCATCTTCAAGATCCTTCATTTTATTACGGGAAAAATCTTGAAGCTCCCCTTGACTCTCAGTTGCACAAAAAGTAATAGCTTTCACACAGGATCTCAGTGCCTCCTTCTCACCATGTTTAAAAAATGCATCTTTTATGAGCTGAAGAACGGTCTTAAAGTTCTGAGAGAAGAGATGAATCAGTATTTGTTACAAACAAGGTAACAACAGTCAAAAGAAGTTGCATTAGAAAAGCTCACTTGCTCCTGTCTCTTAAGGGAATAAAGCTCGAGGTTCATATACACAATAATCTCAACAAGCGATGACACTTTTGCTTTGTCAGCCATGAATTTGCGAAGAAGCTGTGTATGGTACTTCATCATGGAAACAGTAATTTCTCGTCTATTGCTTTCAAATATTTCCTAAATTTGAAACAAAAAGAAATTAAAGTTTTGTCCTTCTTCAGTAGGTCATGGAACAGATACTCTGACTACGAAGAACTAACTTGGTAAGGGAAAACAGGAAGACAAAAATTTTATCCATTGAACCTGTTAATTAAAAATGCGTAACTGGATGTATGACAGGAGAATTCACATAACATCCTTTACACAAAAGGGTAAGGAATTCATTCGTAAAGGAAAAATCATCATCGATTCATGAAATATCAAGAAACCCAAAAATGAGAACTGAGACCTCCTTGAGAAATAGTAACTCCACCTCAACTGTGATAATATATTTTCATATGAATCTACAAATCAACATAATCCACTTGCACATGTGAACACTTTATTACACACACACCAAAAAGAAATGAAAATGTAAGTTGAATTTTTCTTCTTACAACGCAAGACTGGTATAGCTAAATATTTCAAAAAAAAAAAATGGTATAGCTAAAAGGATTAATACCTTTTGAGCCTTAGTGAAATATGGCTTACGATTATCTGAAGCAGGAATAATTGTCTCTCCAACAGCCTTTACCACAGATGCAGAAAGAAGTCTAATTAAGTTTGTTGCATCCTCATCAGTAAGCTCAATCAGCGGATTCTCATCCAAGAGCATGGATATAATACATTTCCAATCCTACAAGTGAAATACAAACTGATATACTTTGCATACAGATGAAGATCCTACATAAAGAACATAATAGTTCTATAATTAATTTATTTCTTCGTTGCAGAATTTTTCCAAAGTGTGCCTAGGAGCTCATTTTAAAAAAAAAGAACAAGTTTGCCTAGGAGTTGAACCAGAAGAATGTATTAATAAGCAGACCAAGATAGTCCAGAAAGAGTTGAAGGCTGCCCCATCCCCATGGCCCAAGGGGAAAAGTTCAAACTCGTAATCCACTAAGCCTAGTGTGGACAAGTAGTGAAACCAAGTCCATCTCAAATCAAGTTAGGATAGGGCAGTTCAATCCCTCTTCTAACCTCTCCAACCTGCTGATACCATACCACATTAGCATACTCCAGAAAGTCGCAGCATACCTTCATTGCCTTCATGTACTCCCAAACAT